TTTCAGTAAGATTCGTTTTAATATTATGAACCAATCTACGCGTAGGTTCAATCAGTTCCTGTTTCCGGACTATAATTTTATAGTATTTTTTATTTCTCCCATGCCTCAATCATCGTGCCCTCATGCATTCTGAAAAGTTGCTTAGAGGCTAATGTCGTATTTTGAATATTTGATTATATTTGGTTCAGTTTTCTATTCAGTGGTCTGTGGCCGCCTAACACCTGGTTTTCGCGGCCACAGTCTTTAAACTAACACTACGTCTTTAACATACCTATTCCTTATTACTACTGTACATACTCCCCCATTTACAGTGCTAGATTCCTAATTTTACTCTGTCTTTTACGTCTTATTTTGTACAGGAAATTCTCTACATTCCTGACTTCCATATCCTTCGTACAACTTATTATTTTCCTGAAGGCCAGCTCTTCACAAGCGGTAAGCCACTTATTCCTCAGAAGCTGTTCCCTCCAACCCCCCTTATTCTCGATCTGATTACGTTATTCATTCATTATTTTTATTACAGTTTTTGATGATTGGTGGTGATTTTCTTCCTGGCCACATCGGATCGCCGACCCGGGAATGTTACTGACGTCCATGAAATTTTAAGCTTGCTGCAAGAATTTACGGTAAGATGTTAATTTACATAAAATTATTATAATATGAAACAAAACAGTTGAAGAATTTATTCAGAAGTGATCACTCTACAGTTTGCGGGTAACTTGAAGTAGTATTTCAAGTTTGTTAATCAGCCTTATTTGATCAGATCTTTAAGGTTTTTTTTTTTTTGGAGAAAATCACTAGTGAATACGACGTTGTTTCAGTTTTCAGATCGCGATAATAATGAAAATAATCCTAAGGTGGTGGTAGCACTGACGATAATAACGATATATTTCCTTAATTTATTCAACGATACTTTTATCTGCGTAGTTTCAAGGACTTTTGGGAATGGTGAACTGAGAAGGATGAGGGAAGCATCAGTCTTTGTGTTCAGCTAGGATTAAGAAAATATAAATAAATAATGTGGTTGTTGATTTCTTGACTGAGGTAGGAAACCATTTCCATCTGAATACGAAGCAATTACATCCCAAATATATATGATCGCGATAAGAATTAGGTCTACTTTTTTGGTTATGGTAGTGATTAGGTGATACGGGATGTCTGGGAATACTGAGAAGAATTCGTCTTAGTCACTTACCTGTGTTTCTCGCAAATCTGCCTCCCACTCTCCCTGGTGATGATATTGCTGTACCAATCAGCTTCATACACTCAGTCGAGTGTCTTCCCCTGTTCAAGCGCGCTCAACGTTTGATTCTTTAATTCTTATCTTTGTTCGAAAACAACAAAAAAAATCGGGCAATTAAAACAAAAAACTAATATTAAGCCGTCTCGATATATATACTTCACTATGATTTTCGAGAAAGTATGAATCAGTTTACCGGTACCCCCTCCCCGTTCAGCTGGGTGTTTTATAGCAGAAGAGGTCGCTGATGTCTTCGGCTAGACCTTCCCGTCCTGTTCTTCCTACGACCTGGTGTCCTTCCTCTGCATCCGCTCCAACCTCCAACCCCAACTGCCCCGATCCTCGCCGACACATTCCACTCTATCCAAGCCCCTCCAGTTGCTGTCATCTCTTGCAGCGCAGCTGCGCAGGGCGCCATATTCTCCCCCTCAGGATCCTTACAGAATCCATCCCCTCCGCGTGAGGTTGTAGAGCCCCCCAGCGTCATGACGCCCGCCGTCATCTCGTTGCGTGGCGCAGTGAGACGCTCCAGTTACTCCTCTACTATTATCTCTATCGCATCCGTCCCAGTGCGTGTCAGCACGAAGATACAGGGGCTTACTACCGCGCTAAGATTATTTCGGGCAGGACTCGCGAAATGTTGATCTTAACTCGTTCTTGCTCGTTTTTATTTAAATCAGCATTTTTATGTTAATAGAGCATCTATTTGCCGATCGCGAATTTCAAGTACCCGGGGGTCTTCGTGTGTTTACACACGGGGAAAAAAGGATGGCTTCAGCGATAAAAGATTCTCATTTGCTGGATTAGGGGTGTAATGACATCCGAAATTACTTTTCTTGCCACCGGATTACCTGTCAAGTGCGTGTTTACATCATACATTTGTATATTATTATTTGTATTAGCTAGAGTACTACGCGTTCAGAGTTGACGGGAATTAAAATTTTTGTGTTCAGTAGTAGTACAGTATATTTCTGACGGGAATTAAAATTTTTGTGTTCAGGAGTATATTTGAGCATTCTATTTGCAAGTCGCATTGAAATACACGATTTATAAAATATCTAAATTAAATGTGAGAAATTGTTCACGGCGACTGAAGCTAGGTTTCTGCCAAGGAAACGGACGTTTTACCCACCGCCTGACTATCGACTCCCGCCAAACGCTGACTCCACCAGACCCCACCATAGTCCCGATTGCATTTTTCTACCACAGTCACCAACGTCAGAACTTTAAAATGAGATCTTACATGCAGTTCACAAGTTTAAGTGTTTTATAAAACATTTGTTAAGGTAGTATAATTGCGTCATATTGTGAATCAAATATTAAATTATTTGGTTTTTCCGTCTAATCACAATTGTATTGGATCACCTCCAGACACATCAACGTGTCTACTATCTCATCTCTGGCCGATGTAGAACATCAAATGCATTCACTTCAAAACAATACATTCGCTCCAATTTATGAAAATAATCTGGATATGAACATCTACAAAAAAACTACACAACAGAAATTGTAATTGAGTTTTAAACTTATTAATATAATTTTACACCTGAAGATGGTTCGATGAAACCGAAACATGTAAAAATGTTCCAAAATGTAAATCGATTATTCGATCTGGAACATAAAATTATATTTTAATTATCTTATTTTTAAATACAATTGTGATTAGACGGAAAACCAAATAATTTAAAACATTTGTTATATTACGAGTAAATAAACAGGTAAAGATGCGAAAGTTTGAGGTTATATCTGACAAATTTAAAGTTGTGAGGACCTGTACTGGTTTAAATTGTGTACAGAAAGGGGTCAATGAACTGAGTAATTATTAGGCCTAATGCAAAGTTCTTCTTGTCAGTAACATACTGATTGAAGGATTTATAAGGAATTCGTGTGCCTAACTTTCTTCCGATAAGGTGACATTCTACTTATGTTATTATGCATAATTATCAGCGTTTGAAAACGCTCTAATAAAGGGAATTATTATTACTGGAATTATCTAAACCGTATCAAAATATAAGATAATTTTAATTACAATAAAGTAGTTTTCATATGTGCGTTTGTGCAAACTTTATACACTCCATACCGTTATAATTAACATCTATATTCAACGTCAAATGTAGCGTAATTTTGCTTTCTACCTCTTTGTGTTTCGTTAATATTTTTCATCTCGTAGCATGGTACTATAACAACAAAAGCGTGTAGGAAGTTGTCAATTGCAAAGTTCGCGCTCATCCAAGTGTTGACATTGATCTCATTATTTCTAATTCTAACTTGTCTCTTTTCATATTCTTTACAGTTTTCTTAATTTTTTCGTTCTTTAACTCTTTTCCTCATATCCCCATTCTCTGTCTTGATATCGCCTTTTAGAGCTTCAGTTGTCTTTATTTGGGACATGGGTAATGGTAATCATTTCGAGTCTATTATCATATTAACATCCGGAGAAGAAATTTGCATAAGCGAGATTTGCTGTTTTTAGGACTGCCAGTTTAAAGATGTATATCTTCTGGGTTGGTATGCCATTTGTTCTGGTAGAAGTCTGCCTACGTTTCAGAGGTGCTTTAGGGCGATTATGGAGGTAGCAGTCACATCTGAAACGTCGGTATACTTGTACCAAACTAGACGGTTGCAACAACTCAGAAATTTCAAATCATCTGGATCAGGATATGAACTGGTAGCGGATTATTGTGGAGACATTTGTAAACTTTCGGGTTTTGAAATAGGCGTGTTGGTTTCTTAGAACTCTCTCTCTCTCTCTCTCTCTCTCTCTCTCTCTCTCTCTCTCTCTCTCTCTCTCTCTCTCTCTCTCTCTCTCTCTCTCTCTCTCTCTCTCTCTCTCTCTCTCTCTCTCTCTCTCTCTCTCTCTCTCTCTCTCTCTCTCTCTATATATATATATATATATAAACTCTGAGAATCGGAAATTGAGCCCATTACCGTAAGATGGTTTCACGCTGCCTCCAAGAAAGAGCCTCATCAAATTGAAGTTGTCACATTCACTCAGACACACGAAAGACTACAGCAAAAGTCAGAACGACTTGCATAACAAATTTCACGGTCTCTTACCTCATCATGTGTTCTTGACGTATCTTGATTTTTAGCCAGTAAACAATTTTTAACGTACTACTTCAACCTTCGGTGATAAGTATTTACCATATTTACCCTGAATATGGCAACTGTAGTTTTGTAGAAACAGTGGTAAACCCTCAGAAATCAATGCGATCTATACCGAAAGCCGAAACACATACATTGAAATGGATGAACGAGAATTTAATGATTGTTAAACTCTTTCATAATTCAGAACATCGTAGTGTATAAATTTAAAAAAGTTATGAATTTTATTGCTAACTTCAAGTAGCAGTGTAGTGTAGATATATTTATTATATTTATTTTTTCGATTTGTTGGTTATTTATTTGAAAAGTGCAATAATTTCATAATCGAAACTTATACGGTAGCTGCGTACATCGATAATATTTATTTATATTTATTTATATTGCCACACATAAAATAAACTTCCTCATAAATTCGAAGAAATAAATTCTTAAACACAAAAACTGATAAGAAAGGTTTGGACATGTTGGCAACACTGGCTGACCGTGTGATAAATCATCGTATGTTCATATATAGATATCAACGTTTCGGAGAAACGTACTGTTTCCATCTTCAGGGCGTCAAAATCCAGAAGGACGTTTCGCACGGATGTGATTTTTTGATATTTTAGTTATGAAAGAAGGAATATTTGCTGAAACATTTTTACGTAACGCGAATTAAAGAATAGACTTATCTCTGAAAAAAATCTATAGGGCCTTGATGGAACTGCTCTCAGTTGAAACAACACTGACTGACACATACTTTCCGATTTAATTCTATCCAAATCCGTAAATACCCTAGTAAATTGTACGGACAAGTGTGGGAACACTGAAAACATCAGGACGCAAATATTTTATGATGTAATGCGTTTCATAGCCTGTAATTACTGGCCCACACTGATAATCGAGGTCAGGTGTTTCCATACACACAAGATGGGCCTCCTGACATCAATTGAGGGCGCAGCCACGATATTGTCAAACACGCGTCGTTTGGCGACAGCTGAGTCTAACGATAACAACATGACCACTGCTGTTATTATCTCTGGCAATGGCGGAAGCAAGTGAACAGATTTGAGGCGACGAGTGAGATGAGATTCGTACAGTGAACATGCACTCGACAATTCAGTTTCAATTTAAAGGCGATGCTGTCTTCGAGTTCTTATGACGAAGACAATGCAATCCGGTCATTGAAAGACGACACATGAAGGTTTTAGGATCTCGATACCTGTCGATTCAACTTTTTTCTTTCTAGTATTTCTCTGTGAATACACTGGAGTCGTTCAGTCAGTATAGTGACTGACTATGACTTGTCGACCGGGGTTCGATTCCCGACAAGGAAAAATATTTCTTCCTCTAGCCTCTGCGTCAAGATCGTCTCTGGGGTCCACCCAGCCCACTATTCAGTGTGTACCGGGATTCTTTCCCGGGGGCACTCACCCCCATCTAGTGCCGGGGTTAAGAATTAGTAGGAGCTATACCACCTCTCACCACAAGCGCCTACATGGCGTGTAGCGAGAAAGTTTTTTAAATTTCCTATAATATTGGAAATAATTTGTATATAGGCTTGCATTTCGGATATAAATTGCTGTCTTTTAGAACGAGGATTTGATTCCTGGTTGTTCGAAGTGGATCTGATACCTAGTAAAATGGCTTTGAAAACTTTTTGAAAAATTGTTTAATACGAAATTAAGTCGTCCAATGTCTTCTGATTGCTAAGGAGTCTTGCAAATAGCGGTATAATTGTTGTGAAATCAACCGTTTGCAACGTAATTTACTTGTAATATTGTTTACGCGAACAAACAAATAACAGACAGAGTTGTGTTTTGAAATATATGGAGATTAGTTCAAGGCAAAATTTCGTCGTAGCTCCTGGTAAAATGATTCTACTTCGAGATCGAATTTTGTCGCCCAGTTTGAGTTATAGCCGATGCAACAATTTTCTCCAATCGAGCATAAAATTAAAACAGGCCTAACTTATCGAGGACTTTATTAGGAATAAAGATGGACTGAAAATGTTTTAGCAACTTGTTGGGCGTGGATTTGAGTGGCAAAATGCTTCCAGTCCTCTTAAAATGGAAGATCGATAAACAATTATGGGTGCTGGCAAACCGTCTAGAGGGCGTTTAATATGGATTCGCACGGTTTAAAAATTTAATCCTCTTACAGAAACGAGGCTCATTGTCTATGAGCGTGAATGGTTGTGTTTAATACATTTAAATTTTTATAAAATCCATCCATTAAAAAACATCACAG